AGAACAGAAAATTAGGGAGGACCATGATCATCTATGTCTTGAATGGATACAGAGTGTAGATATATATCGAATGATCAGTCATTTGTGACGGACTATTGGAGTTTTAGTCAATGGCGTATTGCAAGTTTCTACAAGTCCCTCGTGCTGCCCATACTGCTATGGATGTGAAAGCTGGACTCTGATTGCAGAAACAATCAAGAGAGTCCAGATATTTGAAACAATTTACTTCAGACAAGTAACACAACTGGCAGCCCCCCCCTCCAGGAGCTCCTCTTGGCAACTGTAAAGAAGAGAAAACTGTTGTGGCTTAGACGTCATACGTCACAATACTCTACCCAAGACGGCCCTTCAAGATAGCTTGAATTTGTGATCTTTTGTATTTAGACGTAGGAAGAGGCAGTTGAAAAGATCGATGGACAACATTAAAGAATGGACCAGGATGGACACTCCGACGCTGTTTCGTCGGGCAGAAAACAGATCTGGTTGGCGGCTGGTTGCATCTTTGTCTCTCTCGGTTATAAGAAGTAGTAGTTTTGCAAGCTAGTTTACTTGCTCGCCGCACCGTCTTTTCTTTTTATGTGCTATGTCCTTTCAGGACGTAGGCGATCATGGGCCTTCACCTCCCTGCATCTCTTGCAGCTCTCCAAGTTCCTTCCCTCTGCCACCTCCCCCAGACCACGTTCTGTCATCCACTTGCTTAAGTCCGCCAGGTATGTCACGCATTGTTTACCCTTGTCTCTCTTTCACTCTATTCGACCCGTGAGTATCAGATTTTCCAAGCCCTCCTTCCTCATTATGTGTCCCAGAAACTTCAGCTGCCTCTTCCTGATCTTAAGTCTAAGCCTCTTCCTTGTTTGCAACCTCTCTAAGTTCTCATCGTTGATCACACGCTCGGTCCATGATATCCTTAGCATGCTTTTGTAGAACCACATCTCTGTCGCCTCGAGTTTCAATCTTTCATACAATTTCAAACAACTCAGAACTGTTCCGACTTGAAGGTACACTGCAAATCAGTTAAAACCTAATTACAAAAAAAAAAAATTTCTTTTTGTTGTTGTTGTTGTTTCACTCACCTTTCCGTAAATATTCCAGTCGAAATGTCGTTGACTAAACCGACTACACCACTCCAAGTTCCGAGTGAGGCGGCTCGTTAACAAGAAAGTAGGACAAAAAAACAAGACCTAAGAAAGGGCGGAGGAACACACTGAGTCAACAGTCAGTTAACTAGAGGTGGTGTCTTCATAAACTACTGTGGAGAAGGCAACGGGAAACCACTCCACTATCAATCCGAAGATGAATCATGGCTGAAAGATGACATATCCTAAAAGGATCATACCTTAGACTAAAATCGGTAGTGATTGCTTATTTAAGAAAGGAAACTGTGCTGGACTGGAGCCCTGATCTTTGAATCGACTGTAAAATTTGAGTCTCGTTCACATTTTCATCAAAATTTCAAGTATTAATTTCAATGTTACGAATTCGAATTATATTTTGGCACTCAGATGTGCATACCATTTTAATTAAAAAGATGGCAAAAAGTAGATTTCCGAATCAGGCATTAAAAAGCAGGAAAGCATCCTATACCAATGTTTGCCAATCTATGACAAATTTCAGGTGGGCCACAGAATTTTAAAAATTTTTACTAGACCACCTGGCCAATATATGGGCCACAAAATAGAAGTAATATTTTGCACTTTAATAATTTCATAGGACGTGAAAATTCTGGGTTCAAAGTTATCATGTTTCTCCATCGATTAATTCATCATCAGGAAAATTCTAGGCAATCTTGGGAAATATAGTAGAGTGGTTTCCTGTTCCTCCAAAGTTTGGAATTTAGAGTTTTTCCTTTTTAATTCGAACTTTGTTCGTCAATTTCTCTTTCCGAATCGCTAACTCTGGTACTATCCAGATATTCATTTGTTAATAGAGTTCTTTTTGAATTCTAAGCGACGATTTTGTTGCTGATAGACTTGACACTGATTTGGTGGAATGATTCTCAATGTATTTTTTGTTACTTATAATTAATGAATAAGTTGTTGCAAAGCGTCTCTAACAGCATTAACATCTTTTTGTCTACTGTTCTTCAAAGCGTAAATTCAAACCTCTTCATTATATATTTATCTGATGTGACAATTCCTATCAAATTGTCTACTTGAAGCAAAACAAATTTTGTCACAACTGACTGAACGTTACACTTCGCCTTAATGATAGAAGACAATTGCACACACATATATATATATATATATATATATATATATATATATATATATATATATATATATATATTGCCATCTGAGATAAAACAGAGGGGCTAGAATAAAATACATTTCTTAATAAAGACTGTTTATGATAACGTCAGTCAACTTTTTCCTTTTTCTCTTTTTTTTCATCTTGACTGGGTCAGCTTTTTTTTCCTTCCCCATGGCCGTATTTATTTTATTCTTTCTCTCTCCCTTAGCGAGAGAGCCACTTGTTTTGGTCTAAGCACAGAATACAGCGGCTTCTCTTAAATCTTTTTGAGGGTTTGACGGGTCCAACTAAGATCAGTTATCTTTATTTTGTACATTTGTTTTGATATTTTTGTTTTGTTTTGGGGGTTTATACCCTTTCTTTCCCCATTACGTATCATGTACAGATTTTATATGCAAATTAAATTTTTATGTCATGGCGTGCATTTTTGTAGGTTCCCTGAGTGTATGCGGTATCATGGTATATGGAGGATTGAATGATGAGGGATGAATTCTTGTGATGGATGTGCAAATTGCAATGAGTGAATGGGTCGTGGATCTGATTAGATAGGTATAAGATAGTGACTAACCTCAACCCACCCCACTTTTAAACCTTGTGCCTCAATTATATTTTAGATACAATAAATCTTGTCAACTTCCCGAATGGGAGAAGTCGATATGATCTTACCGAAACAATGGCTTAAACACGTCCACACCTGTCGCTAGAATTCTCTTAAAAGCCACCCGTAGAGGCCCAACCGGATGTTAGAATTCGTTACTGAGGTAACAAAAAGATATTATGAAGCAATTAATAAAATGTTATTTGGCAGAGAATGTTATGATTTTTCTGATTGTCAACTGTTAAAAGTTGCCAACTTCTTATTTAAATCTTTGTAAATTCCTTCTATTGCATCGAGACATTTAATGTGAGAGAACTTCTGAAAAAAGGGAAGCAAGAATTATTGGTTCGGAATTATAATTGTTATAAATTTGGTGTATGGTGCCTCTGAGAAACCAGAATCAAAGGACTTAATATTAATGTCGGAATTACCCAACACAATAGCTTTGAAAACAGACAATAAATGTTATGGAAACCATTTTATCATAACAAATAGAACGCCCATTGACATATGACGAGCAATCCTATTATACACATTGAACAACAGTATTAAAAGAACTATCAATAAAATTCCATAATTACCTGTAAAACCATTGAATAACTTGGAAGATCTGCAACGTTTTTGAGAGTTAGGGAGGTTTAGAAAGGGTCGATAAGAGAGATTTATGTTGCTGAAGATGATATATAAATCTTACTGATTTGCAGTGTACCTTCAAACCGAAACAGCTCTGCCGAAACAACTCAGAACTGTTCCGACTTGAAGGTACACTGCAAATCAGTATGATTTATACATAATAACATTTCATCAAACTAAGTAGAAATATCTTTCGTAAAAGAAGAAAATATTCTAGGAACTGATTTTCACAAAGACAAGTGCACTCACGACAGGCACAGACTAAAACGTCGCAATAAATTTGGTTCATCATCACGCCTTTCAAGGTGAGCGCCCTTTTAACGGCTCAGCGTTCTGATTTGCTGACACGGTCAGTTCATTGAAAGAAAAATGTACTACGTCGTTGAATGAAAGATTCCTTTTTTCCTCTCGGAAAATTACGTCTGAAACGTAAAATAGAAAAAAGTACAATTTGCAAAACAAGGGAATGGTTGAACGACCAATATATTTCCTATTGAAGTTGGATGCAAAGTTTTATTGTCAAATAGAGTTCAATATCCATAAACTAAGCTTTGATTGTTATAAATGGAAAAGAGGAAATTTATTAAGAAACTCCAACGTCAAGAACACGTTGGCTCTGTATGAAGTTAACATTCTAACACTGTGAATAAAAAAATTGTATTATAAGATATTGCTGGAGCATCTTGGGTTATCAGTAAATGATGTTTCGACTTCGAAACTCCGGGTCATTAACATCTTATAAAGAGTTAACCGCTCCATAAATTATCTGACTACGATTACCATGCTCTCTATTGTGCCAGAAAACCAGAGATTGCGTATGGCTGCCATTTCTAGGCTGGTGCTGCTAAGTCTTTACTGTCAAGTTTGGACAGAGTTCAAAAGTGTTTACGCGGCCTTGTGGGTGATGAATTGTTTTCCACACTACAACCCCTTTCTTACAGACGAGACGTTGCTAGCCTCTTGGTATTATATCGCTATTTTCATAGGAAATGTTCTGACTGGCTAAATTCATTAGGTCCAACAGCCACTTTCACAGCTAGGAACCGCAACGTTACGTACATGGCACGGACTCCTCTTCGTTCCTTTGATCATATTCCATTAGTAAGGACGTAGTGCCACTCACACATCTTATTCTCCAGAATTGTCACTTTTGTGGATTAGACTGATTAAAGCAAAAGTTCCCAGAATAGCGAAATACTTTGTCCAGGTTTCAATTATTCATAACCAGTAATTACTTTTGAATGATTCCGTTTTTATGGCTTATCAACCCTTTACAGGTTATTTAAAGCCAAAAAATATTTTTATATTGTAAGAATTTCTTTTTGTTGAGATAATGATGATCTAGTGATACGAGTCTTACTAATTAGCTCATTGTTGGAGGGAGAAGAGGTGGATTCATACCTTTCCCCAAAGGTATTTGCACGTAAGTGAATATAAGAAACCCGACTTGAATTGGAACTCGGCTCTCCGACTAACAATTCCGAACTATATTAACCATTACAGCACCCGCACATGAAAGCTTTCAGCACCTGATATTCCAAAGCAGTCACCCACCTAGGTACAGACCAGGCTCAGCGTTGCTTAACTTCTGTGATCGTATGAAACCTGTGTTTCAACGTGATAATGCCGTAAGCCAATTACTTTTTGATCACAAAAAAGAAATTTTTCATTACATTATAATTTGTTAATTATTATTAAATGTATGAATTTGTTGTTTTTTATTACAACTATTAGGTCGTCATTCTACAATCAGTAGTAAGCAGAATGAATGGGAAAAGACCGTGGCAAAGCAGTTATTTTAGAGCGTTATTACTTATAAACGATCGTAGATTGACGACCAGAAAGTTTCAAAAGCATCAGAAATTGATATGGAAGGAATGCAAAACATTAAAAATTGAAAGCACTATGTATTTTTTTTTTTACTCGTGTTCACTCTATTCAAAGCTCAAGAGCCAATCAAGGTCGAGGTTTTGTCTATAAACTGGCGTTATCACATTATTCTTTGACTCTAGTTCATCGACTCAATATGTGGAAGTTTCCCAAATTCTCTTGTATATTTAGCATTTCGTCGGATTTCCATCCAACTTCACACACACACACACACACACACACGCACGATAAAAATATAGTTTTAAGGTATGCTATATTTATAGGTAAAAGGCTCAATATCACAAATAGAGCGAATCTAAATATGAAGTTGGCCGAGCGGTGACAGTGTTTCATGCTTCAACGCAATCTTGAGACCTTGAAGATTGCGTTGATGCATGAAACAGCTTGTCGGCAGCTTGGTGTTGACCTCTGTGTCTATATATATATATATATATATATATATATATATATATATAAAAGAAAGAACAGTAAGATATATAATCCAGTGTTCTTATAGATATTTTAATTTTTACAAAATAGTGCTCAATGTAAATTTACAGAGCATTATTATTATAAATCAATTGATTTAAATATATATATATATAATATATATATATATATGTGTGTGTGTGTGTGTGTAGTTGTAGGGTAGATAAATGAAACGGCTAGATATAAGCAAGCGTGTTCTGGTGTCCATACACAGGCAAGCAAATAAATAATCGTCGCATTTACACATGAAGTGTAAACATGATAGTGCTCAATGCAGTTATACAGAGCAAAGATATCTATTAATTAGTACATACACTTGTACCTACGTTTTGGTGTGCAACTATAGTTTCGCTGGGTGGTTTCCAGCTGGTCGGGCACAGGATCTATGATGTTGGAAGTCAACAAATGGCTCATGGGAGTTTCACTGCTACGTAGCACAAAAATAAAGCTGCACAAAGTGTGTTAAATGCAATGCTGGCGAGATAAATTTTTAAAAAAAATTTAGCGAAATGTGGGGGAAGTAAAAAAGTGATTACAAATTTAAAATTAAAGACGTTGCATTCGCGTAGTTAGTAAACCATTACGGTTTAAAGGGAGGTAAAAATTACCTGAAAGTAAAAATAGAAAAAACGTGTGAAAACGAAGGTGACCAGAGGGAGTAAAAGGGTATGCTGTGGTCGTTGTTGTAGATTTGTTATAGTGTTGTGAACAGCTTGGGGTGTGGTTTGGCACTTATATCCTACTAAAATAAGAGGTGGGGATTGGAATTAGTCAGGTATCCAATATTTTAAGATATACCATTCGCACTTGCATGGAGTATTGCTGCCATATATGGTCTGGGGCACCTTCTGTTTACCTCGGAGTTCTTGACAAGATCCAGAGACGGATATGTAATATAAGTGGCCCTGATCTGGCATCTCGTCTACAGTCACTCTCTCTCACAGACGCGCCGTCGCCTCTCTCTCTTTTTCTACAAATACTTTCATGGTAATTGCTCCGATGAGCTGCTTTACTGGTTCCCCAGACTCCATGAATTCAAGAGCCCTACGAGGCTGGCATCCCACTCCCATCCTTACACTATAGAAACTTTTAAATGTAGCCGTCTCTTCTACTCCAATAGCTTCATACCTCGCACCTCTCTCCTGTGGAACACCCTTCCCAATTACTGTTTCCCTGAGAGCTATAATCTCCAGTTATTCTTGATCACCTCCATCCATCTATCCATCCCTCTCCTCATCCTTTCTTCTATCACTCCTATCTGCTCTTGCTCCAAATCTTCTGCAACCCCCTGCATCCTAGTGGCTTCACGCCTTACTCGAGGCGTAATGCTTAAAAAAATACGGTTTTTATGCCTTCATACAATCAATAGCTCAGTCCTTTTATTAAGTAGGCCTGGCGTGTTAATGTTTTTGAGGATAAATCTTTTCTTTAATACACATAAATCGCATCGTCCCCCTTCCTTACCAGAAAAAAAAATTTGATTTATGCTATGAATTCCCATTTTACATTAGGTGTTTAGTCATTTGTTTTAATAATCCAGTAGAACTTAGAGAATGTTGTGGCGTTTGCATATTTTTTGTTGTTGAGTGTCATCTTGTGCTGATAACTCTTTTTCCTATTGATAGCGGTGGATCCGAAATAAAATTTGGTCTGGTCATTGTGCGTGATGCTAGTCTTATATATAATTCCTTTACACATGCATTTGCCGTTCATGAGACAGTGATCACGGTTGCGACAATTGCATGTCTGCTTATCGGGGCTTCCATTTCTACTAATGCTGTTTAAGTATGTGTTAAGGATTACATTACTATGCAGGGCTAAATATGATTCAAGCTTTTTGGTGCAGCTGTAGCTAACTTTAACGTTGTTCTTGTTGAAGAGTTTTCTCAGTGGAAATATGACTGAAAGGCTTGCGTAATAACCTGAGAAAAGTTCTACCTATATTAGTCCTAACGTTACTATTGAAGGGTGGGTTGAATCAAGTAATGTTGCGCTTTCTTAGATTTATTATAGTTATTGTTACTGGTGTTGGGATTGTACTTAACTCGACGTTGTGTTTGCTTTTATGTAATGCATCTACATATTTGGTTTGTATGTGTTTAGTTGGTAGAGAGTCTGTATTGTACACATTTGTGGAGATTGTTGAATATACACGGAGGATGGTTGGATTCCTTATTATTGTGAAGTTGCTTACTATAAGGCATGAACAATCCCCTAGATAAGTCGAATGTGGTGTCTAGTAAATTTATCACTTTGGCATTGGTGACGGTGGTGATGTTAAGTCCGTTATCCTTAAAAAAAAAATTATTAGCTGTTTCCTAAGTCTGTCATTTTTTTGTTGGTTGGGATTATATAGTAGGATAACTTCGTCGTCGCTATACATCTCGGTGTTCTCACTATCGGAAATATATCTGAGCTTCCATAGAAGCAATATGCCGACTAGTTCGCAGGCTTCTGCGGAGTCAAACACGCCCATCGCTATAGAAAAGTCTTTATTGGTCCATAAAGAAACATTATGGTATAAAGTAGGCTTCTGGACTTGTAGGATTATTCTGGTATCCTCGTCTGTGGGGGTGTAATAATATTTAGCTAGTTCAATAGCGGCTATTAATAGGTTTCCAGTGATCGACGTGTAAAAAGTTGGTTATGTCGAATTGCATAAAGGTGCACACATTTTTCTTAGTGAACCAACTTATAGCATCTTTGGTATTTCTCCACTCATTGACCACTGTTGCATTACTGGTGTAATTACAGGCTCGTTCAAGTATGGTTTTTGCTCATTCTACCTGTGTTGTTCTTGGAGGGGTTAAGCAAACGGAACTATGGGTTATTGGGGAAATTGCTCTTATTGTCCTTAACTGTAATAACTCATGTTTTTTATGGAGTTTGTTCACACTGTCATCGATCTTAAGTTTCTTAGTCGTTGTTTGTACCTCGCTGTTGATATCATTTTATTATTATTTAGGGGCCTTCTTGTATACTTTGTGGACTTTCTTACGAGTGGCTTTGTGGTAGTACTTTTTTCTCTTTTCTTTCTTTTTTCTTCGTTTTTTCCTATTCCTAGTGTCTGAATAAATTGAACTCCATTTGTTTATGTAAAACTGGTCTGAAGAGATGGATGTTGAGATGCGCTGGTGGATTTTTAAATATTCTTTATCCATTATTATATTTGCTCTGTTCTTACATTGAGCTCTCTTTGCATTTATATCTTCCTTGGAATTATCCCTACTAATCAGTCGAATCCATTACATTCACTTACGTGCTAATACCGTTGCGAAAGGCATGAATCCTCTTCTCCCTCCAGTTATGGGGAAATAGCAGAACGGACTGAATGGCATATATATATATATATATATATATATATATATATATATATATATATATATACTTGGATAGCAACTGGTCTAGGAGAAGGATAATTTTGATTTCAAAACCTGCGGATGGTCGTTTGGGGGACCTTGTGGCACCTAGTGCACCAGGTCTCTATATTCAGCCCTTCAGAAAGTGTGATTGGTTCTGCACAAAGCATTCACCACTGTAATCAAATCTCATGTGCTGGTGTCGGGCTGTCGGTTTCCTAGGAAGTGATCTGCTTGACCCTCATACGTCGAATTCGTCGGGAAAGTCGAGTATATATATATATATATATATATATATATATATATATATATATATATATATATATATATATAAACAAACATGTGTTACATCACATGGAGAAAGAACAATACTAATTTGATTCATATCAATGCCGATTATCCAGGAGTGATTGATTATTTCTTATGGCTTAAGGACTGGGTTGTTTAAGGTCGATATATACACATATATATATATATATATTCGGAATATATGAGATTGCTTACGATCCAAGAATAACGCATTGAATTTAGTCTGAAACCTCAAAAGCTACTTCACAGCCCAATCAATCAAAAAGTGAAATTTGAATTAATGACAGCAATCTGTATGTGTTGACTCCATTCAACGCACAATCGGACCTTATTTTTTCAGCAGTTTAGTGCAAGGCAGCACAATTTCAAGAATCTATTTGGGGAAGATTCTAAAACCTGTTTCTGTTTAGACATTTGGTAATACAGTTAGCTGCGTCAAATATTCAATTATGTCGAGTTTATCTGAATGGAAAATCCATAAGTGAAAGGTGAAAGCCGATGGCTGAATATGCTACTTACTGCGTGTGTACATAGATATGTTGATAGATAAAGAAAAAAAATGAAGATAGATACGAACAAAATTAGATCTGAAGAGACTTGGTATATTCAGCAGTTGAAGAAAAAAATCAAAGGACTTATCGACTTTAAGTTTCACATATACACCGCTCATCAGATTTAAATAAATCTATTGAATGCATTATCAGATATCATAAATATATTCTTCTCCTTCTGTGTACCTTGTCGCTTCTGGGCATCGCCAGTCATGGCTCTCAACAATTTTATGTCCCTTGTAGTTTTTAGTAAATTTTATCATTCCTGAACCTTGTTCTGAAAACACTGGCTCGTTATATACTGCTTTCCTCTATCTTGCCTTCAATATGTCCTGAATGTCAAATTTGCCAAGGCTTCTTTTCTCATTATGTGCCACAGAAATTTCCTTTCTCATTTTGATGCTTAATATAAGTGTCCTTTTTGTTTCCATTTTCTCTGAAACAGTCATTGCTCACATGTCCGGTTCATCTTATTCTCAGCATCCTTTTGTAGAACCACATTAATATTGCTTCAAGTGTCTTCTTCATCTGTCAAGAGATATTCATGCCATATAGAAGGACCGATATTATATATCAGTTCAGTACTCTTTTCTTTGTTTCTAACAAAAATTTTCCTGTTTCTTAATACTTTGCTTAGCTTTAATGTGGCATCTTTAACTATCCCAATGCACCATCGGATTTCGACCTCACACTTTCCGTCTTCCGGTAAAACACAACCTAAAAACGTTCATCAGAGACGCCATATTTTCAAACTTCTATGCTATAAAGTGTTGTAACGTGACAACTCGTAAATGTCCCAAAGCGTTATAACGTTACAAATTTAAAATCAAATTGAGCAGTTTTATATTTTTGTTTATAATTTCACCGTTGTAAAATGTATATGTGTAGAAAAAGAAAAATCGTAGTAAAATAAATATTCTAAAGTACGGCAAGGCTGTGTTGAAGTTGCGGGAAACACCTAACCGCTTACTTTCCCGAGAACTACGAGGTAACAGGTAAACTTGAGGAATAAACTGTCCAAAGGAACGACTTTACAAGATACCGAGTCTCGCTCACTGCTGGTTCTCCTGTCGATTTTATTGTTCACAAAATGAACACTTATACTCAGAACGAGCGAAAAAAAGAGAAGAAATTACTTGGACACGTGATTAGGAGGGAGCGTTTGGAAAATTTGATTCTCATGCGGCATACTCAGAGCAAGAGAGATAGGTGAAGACAACGAGCTACTTAACAGACGAACTTGTGTGAATCACTGGCGGAACGGGTTTGCCGTAGCAAAGGAAGAAAAACTTCTAAGAATCACCTGAGGTAGGAAGTTGTGGAGAGTCATGATCGCCTATATTCTGAAGGGAGGCGGCATTTTGTGCATACAGCATGATTTTATTCTTTTTCTTATCAGGTTTCTGCAACATCCATCTACAGGTTCTCCCTGCAATATATATGGAAGAAATATACCTGTCTTCAAGTAACGTCCTAAAATTATTAAAATGCAGAAGAAAAATTGGTAGCAAATATACTGATCAGACTTACCCATTATGCAAATGATCGTAACTCGTGTGATGAAAGCGGTTCCATATTTTATAAGCCAACTACTCTTTTTCTTGCTAGACCCCAAAAATCTAGTGTAGTCTGACTTCTATCAGTTTCTGTTAACCTTCGACTTCAATCAGTTTGAATCATGACCCCTGGAATGAAAATGGTTTATTTCAGTAGTTTAAGTTCTTTTTAAAATGTACAGTTAATTCTCCTATCGGATTTCCCCGCTTCACAAGTTTAGACAAGCTATTCCTTTCCAGTCAATATCAGCTACAACAGTGGTGACGCCCGGAAGAGACGGGAACTAGAACAATCTACCCCGGTGAACGAAATAAGAGGTGCGATTCGAAATTTCAGTCACCTGAAGAAGGCCGGAGCGTACAACGGTCGAAACGTTGTGATATATATATATATATATATATATATATATATATATATATACGAACTGTTATCCTCATCTTCATTGACATATTTATACTTCGGCTTAATAAATAAAAAAGACAGTAGAAGACAATTATAGTAAACAAAAAACATAGAATTCTTGAATATAATATAAACTAATCTTTTTAAACACATTTCTGTTTAATTTTTAGTTACTTAAGCCATACTGACGTCAATAATGGATTTAATCTTATTTCAGTATAGCTGCTTATAAAAGATTTTACACATATACATACACACACACACACACATATATATATATATACATATACACACACACACACATATATATATATATATATATACATATACACGCACACACACATATATATATATACACACACACACACACACACACACACATATATATATATATATATATATATATATATATATATATATGACAAAAGGAAAACATCTTAGCCAACGCGTTTCATCCTCTGATGTTTTAAATTTAAGAGACGCTCATTTAAATATTAATTGCATAAAAAAATTCAACATTATTTATTCACTTTCGTTTTTTTAGACATTAAATTACGTCACTTGGCATCTTCTATAATTTACCTAGAGTGTTCAGTATATATATATATATATATATATATATATATATATATATATATATTTTCTTCATACTGTCGGATCTATATCCATATATTTGATAACATATATATATATATATATAAATTTCAGATATGACTAAAATATATCTAGGCAGATAAGGACAATATGAATAAAAACGTAAAAATTAGACAAAAAGAGATACTAAATAAGTAATTTTATACCTTATTCAAGAATTCCACCAAATCTATTTGTTTAGGGGCTTACGACCATATCACGTTGTAACACAGGTTCCCATACGATCACCAAATTTAAGCAACATCGAGTCTGGCCAGTACTTAGATGGGCTACCTACTGCTTAGGAATACCAGGTTTTGTAAGCTTGGATGCACATCCAGCCTTACAGCACCTGGCATTGTAATGTATAATGACTCGGAATAGTTAATCGGAGAGCCGAGTTCTAATTCCAGTTGGATTTGTTATATTGACTTACATGTATGTAAAGGCATGAATCCAACTCTTTTCCCCCAACTATGGGTTAATTAATAAAACATATAATTAAATCATTATTAAATCCTCCAATAAAATTCTCACAATCTAAATTTTTTTTCTGGCTTTGAATAACCTCTAAAAGGCTGATAAGCGATAGAAAACTAATCATTTTTTCCAAATGTCACATGTGTGACAAAAGAAATGACAAAAAAAGCAAATGAAACGACAGGAGTTCCAATTCCAGTCAAGTTCATTATATTCCCTTTCGTGCAAATACCCTTGGGTAAAGTCATGAATCCACCTCTCCCAGCTATGGGTTAATTAGTAAAACTTGTATCACTAAATCGTTATAATCTCAGAAAAAAATTAAACTTCTTACAATCTAAAAACATTTCCTGGCTTTAAATAACCAGCTATGGGTTGATGAACCGTAAAAAACGAATCAATAAGAAACAACTAGTTTCGTTACATTGAAATATTATCTCCTGTTTATAAGATCCAAGGATAAAAAAAAGATTGAAGCAAAGAAAGTCCAGGCTAAAATCGTCGGTTGTTTTTGCGATAATAAATGTGTACATGGCGCGCCCGTTATTCCATAGAATATATATATATGACTTGCTGTCGGTAGTTCGAGAGACAAGCGCATGTATTGCTGCACAAGAATTCAAACAGAAACGCTTCCTCTCACACGCACATACACGTAGTTCTTGCTTCTTTTGCACTAGTAAATTTAATTTCCTAGTCTCTATGTCCACTCGTTTCTTACTGTAGTACACGTTCAAATATAGGTGAAGCATCACTAATATTTCATTTGAAATGATTTCAAAAAGGCAAATTTGATTCCAGTTTAATAAAAAAAAAAAAAATTTCCAGAATGTTTCCATTATATTTTTTGACTTCTTTTGATACAAACTATTTGGCAACTGTAATAATTAAAATAAATACATCTCATTCCTTTGGATGTGTAGATATGTGGTAATTTTATTGTGTGTACATAGTTGCGTTATTAAACATCGTAGCATGACTTAGCGTGTTCTCCATACGTTCATTTATGCGGTTATGTTACTGAACATGTTTGGAAATGAAAGAAGCGATTGTGCATTATGTTGTGCAGTGTTCGTGTGTTTAAATAGCCGCGGGTGTGCGAATTAAATTTGAGGTTGCGCATAAATTGTTTACGCGACAGACAAGCAACATTACAGATTAAGAATTTGAAAGGGAAAGAAAAGAAGAACGTGTCTCTTTATCGAGAGGAGAAATATGAACAGTGAGGCACGACCGGTTTTCAATTACACTGGACCGTTGTTTGTTAACTAAGAATAACTCGCTTGCATACACAGCGGGAAGAGGCATGCGCAAACAAACAAGAGATAACAAACATAAACGCGCGCACACACACACACACACACACACACACACGAGCATTGCACCGAAAGTAATGCCTCCTATTTCAAAAGCGGATGTTAGCAGTAGACGCTGAACCCCCCCCCCCAATAAACCATACTATTTTTGACAGCAACTGAGCGACAGTTTGGCAAAATGATTTTTGGCATCAATTACTTCGGGTGGAAAAAAATTGCAGCCACTCAGCTTCAGTTACGTATGCTGGAGGTTTAGGGAGACCAAATAGTAGATATAAGCACAGTTAACTAGAGGCGTTAGAGAAATGGTGAGAGCGACGTCCCCTCCACTGATACAGATTTTTGCTTGCGTGTAATGCATGCTATTATTGATTCCTACCAAAGATTATTCGCCCTTGGCAGTGACTATGACGATAAACTACATCCGGCACCAAGGCCTCAGATCGAGAGATTGGAGGTTTTGAAGAACGTGGAACCACCTCTTAATTGATGTTATTCCCAAGTCCACCCTGACACGGGGTGATAGCACATGGGCAAATGTGCGATTCAAACGAAAATTGGGTGTTAGGAAAAATAAATCCCCACTCGAATCTGTTCCCGTTGACAGCGAACGGGGAAACTGGAACAGCTCATCGCTCGGGACACTGTTTCTTGCACACCGTAAACCACAGTACTATCGCTCTTTCTCTGGAACATGGGCGTAACTTTCGCCAGTCTCAAAGAACAAAACTCCCCTGAAACAGAAAGTCAGCTCTTTTTATCCTTCCTCGTTCTCGGACAAGAAAACAAGATCTCTCGCTTGTGTTAGCCTCGTTCTCGCCGATAACGCATGCGCTGTGTCACTTCAATATTGATTTGCCGTAGTTCGCCTCGCACGTCCATGATGCCTACAAGCACATGTACAGACAATTCGCTGTCTCTTGCTTCGGCGAGGTATGTCTCCACCACAGCAAATAGTGACCCCACCTTCCAAACAAAAGCAAAACACTATGAAAGTATAAAAAATTTTATAGTAAAAATACAAGCAATAAACCTTTATATAAAAAATTTACCAACAATACGCACATACGAACAAATTGTAGCAAATCCTTTTAAAATACTATCAAACAACCAATATAAAAGAATTTTCATATAATATCCTAGAGTTTCTTAAATCAAACTATATTCCAAAATATAATTTCAACAAAACTAGAACATAAAATACGCATCATCGCCTTTAGTAATCACAATCACGCGACGCATTAGTGTCATAGAGTACTAAAGCCGCAGCAAAAATGGTGTTTCTTTGGCAAGATAGCCTGATGGAGCCCAAACCTCTCCAAGCTGTTTTTAATTCAGAGTTTTTCCTTCTCCTAGACCGATTGCTAACAAAGGCTACGGAACCCAGTCTGTCTACTATTTACCCAGAGCCCTGTGGGAGGAGGGTGAAGAGGATTTATACCTTTCCCAAGTGAGTGATTCCTCAATAAGAGTCTTGTCCACACAAACATATATATGTACAATGATGTGTATCATCTACCATGTACTCAACTGTGAAAGCAGAATAACATTTTTATTACTTCCAAGCCCATAAGAAAATTTAATTTCAACATTAAATGACTCATAAGCAGAAAAAATCAATGACTATGTCGAAAAACAATACCTGATAACTGAAAGGCTGTTTAGTTAAATGCCTGCAGGGCTTATATAGGTTGTAACTTCCGTAGAAGTAAATAGAATACATTACTTTTCAGTAATGGTAATATTGGCTGTTTTTTTTCCTTATAAGGAATTATTAACCAATCACCCAGTACTAACCTTGCTGAAATTTATAAAATCTTTCTCATAAAATGTTTTTCCCGAAAAATAGTTTTCTCATCGCTTATTCCAGTATAGATGGGGTTTTCCTTCCTAAACGTTTATTTTAATAACTGTGGAATATTAACAACATGATTATGACATTATTTTCTCTTCTAGTTACATGTGCTATCCATTTTAATTGTTGCCGCTGTTGAAAGTCCTCAAATGGTAGAGTTCTTTTTTTTTTTGCAATTGTGTAGCGCCAGTTCACAAAGTTTGAAATAAGACGGCCTTCGACAAAACCCACAGATTTCACTCGCTGAAACGTATTTTTAACTATTGATCTTAGGAAGTGGTTGTTTTGATGTTTCTAAACAGATTTGGTGCCATTCATATAACATTCATATGAAAGTCTCGATCTGGCTATTTAAGAACATGATTATATTTTTCAGGTTAATGTTTTAGTTTTGTGGCAATTTGCGGTATTGAGCGAAACTACCTCTGGCGCAGCTTCTTCTATGTTTAAAGTTGTTACAACTGAATCCATAGACCGAAGTATTTGAAGTGTTTATAAGTGGCGCATAGACATTTTTAATAACAATCATAGAATGTGAAACAAAGAATTTATCCAATATAATGAGGAAGCCAAACCCAGCAAAAGGGAAGATTATATTGCGCCAATCTCTCCCTACCATGACTGAAAAGCTGTATTCGATATCTTTTCTTTCCTCCGGACTCGAACATAACCTCTTGTTTTCGAGGGAATTATCCACGAAACACACACACACACACACACACACACACGGGGTGCTAAGGTTTCTTGGATTAGACCATGAAAAAGAAGAAAAACTTTAGTATCTTGTTTCCACCGTTTATTTCCATGTAGTGCACTTGGGTTGTTTGCACATTGGCAGAGAGAAGGTAGCGGCAAACATCCGTACTACCTTCATGACTGCTATTCAAATCCCCCGTCGCCAATCTCGTGTCATGAGTCATACACTTCCTCTCCTTCTCTCCCCCACCTTCTTCTTTTCCCCTTCTTTCTCTCTCTCCCTCACGCGAAAGTGGGCGGTGAAAAGTTCTCAGTTCAGCTTAGTAAATACTTGGGATTGCATGAAAAAATAGCTTGTCTAGCAGACTATTACAACTGGTACATCGATCCTCAAACGAAGACTTACAGCTGACCACCTTTATTAAATCTAATTGAATGACCTCAAAAGTTGAGTTCCTACTATCTTCTGGATTTTTTAGGATAGGATAAAAAATAAACGTTTTATTTTTTTGTTTTTTGTTTTTTAAATTTAATTAAAAAGCCAATATTTAAAAAAAATGAAAATAGGTTTTATTTTATTTTGTACAACCAAATTAAAATATTTGTAAGTTGTTTAAATATTATTGCTTAAAGCCTGAAACGTCTTGTAGATACTTGACTGATGTATTGAGAAAAATATCTGTCTAATGCTGAAAAAGTGACTTGGCAATAATGAGTTGTTCAAACACGCCACGTTGCTAGCAGACATTTGAGGAGATTATCATAAACATATACTATTCTACAAGTTCGGTTCGGCTCTGTAAGTTTGAACTTGTGCCGATCAAACTAAATTTAGTAAATACCTGGAGATGCTTGTGTCGCAGACTATTACAATTGTATAAGAACTTTGGACCTCACTTGTGGCCTTAGATTTGCTGCCTTTGAAAGTCAAGCCCTGAAGATATATTCATAGCTCACACTTCTTTGTCAAATACAATTTAAGACCAGTCGCAAGTGTTTGACTTCAGTTTCTAATCTGTCCAAGTCAATTTAGGACCAGTCGCAAATGTTAGGTGTTAGTTCCTAATCTCTGCAAGGTAATTTAAGGCCAGTTACAAGTGTGAGGCGTTAATTCCTAACCTGTACCAGGCAATTTAAGACCAGCTGCATGTGTTAGGCGTTAGTTCCTAATCTACCCCAGACAATTTAAAACGAGTCGCAATTGTTAGGTGCTAGTTCCTAATCTATACAAAGCAATTTAAGATCAGTTGCAAGTGTGAGGCTTTCGTTCCTAATATCTGTACAAAGCAACAAAAAAATTTATCGCCATGTCCGTTTATGGTATTGTCGATCATGATAGACAAGCTCATTCGATAGGTTAGGAACTGTTTTTTCTCTGCCCCCGCCGCCGCCCCCCTGCCTTCACCATGTCGTGCGAATGGCAACTTTTTTTCTAATTCCCTCCTTCCTCACAATGTGCACTAGAAATTTCAACAGCCACTTATTCTTCCTGATGTTTACATATATAAGTGTCGCTTTTGTTTCTATTTTCTCTAAAACTTCGTCGTTACTCATATGTTCGATCCATGGTATTCTCAGCACCTTCTGTAGAACCACATTTCTATTGGCTCAAGTCTCTCTTTCCTTGGTGATGAGATTGTCCAGTATTCACTGCCATATACGAGGAACAATATTACATAACAGCTAAGTACTCTTTTCTTTGTTTCTAACGAAATTTTCCTGTTTCTTAATACTTTTCTTAGATTTTGAAAGACATCTTTCACTATTCCCATATGCCTTCAGATTTGGGTGTCGCATTTTCAGTCCTCTTTTAAAACACTTCCAAGATGCTTAAATTTTTGTAATTGCTTGGTTTTGGTGTTTCCAACTTTTAATTCGAATGTTGAGCTTTACTTTGTTACAATTGATATTTAGTCCTTTCTTCTCGCTTTCCTTTACTAACTTCTCTAGTTGTTTTCGTAGATGCCTTCTGTATCTGCTTTCAACAGTGTTGTTGACCATGTTCGCCGTAGTCTCTGAATATGGAATTCAATGAAGTCCTAATGTCTTCAATATCAGAGATTAGCAGTGAAGATTCGGAGAAAGTAGCAGCTGTTAAGTAATTCTTTAAGTCTTCGATATCAGGTTGGCAGTGAAGATATTTTGGGAGAAAAAACAAAATGGCTGCCTTTATACACGTCGGATTGAATATTTTGAGCTTTCTGATTGATTAACCCTTCTCTTGGTGGACTATAAAATGAGTCAACACATTTTGGCTAGCTCACTAGTATTATTAAGAATGTGGCCACCAGTAATGAATCCTCGTAAGATTCCTAATTCTCTCAGAAGCATCTCACTGTAAAGGTTGAATAAATCCGACAAGAAGACGCATCCTTGTTTTACTCCCCTTTCTATGTCTGTATATTTTCTGAACTCATTTCCTATCCTTATGCAGGCGGTTTGCGCTCAGTACAATTTCTGGATTAGTCTCATATTCTTCCCAAATATATTAAGCTTACGTAGCAGTTCCAACAGGCTTTTTTGACATACCTTATCAAACACATTTGTATAATCTATAAGGTATACATCCTTTTCTATTTGTATTGTTCTTTCTGATACCATTCTGATAATAAATACCGCATTCCTTGTTCCATTGTTCTTTAAAAAAAACTGTTCTGTTCTTGTACTATTCCGGTCTAATTCTGGCACGCGCTCTATTTCTATCAGATATTTCTTGTTATATGGTCCATGAGGCTGATTATCCAACAGAGTTCACATTCGTTCGTTTGCGCCAGGTTTCTCAGGCAGCGCTATGAAAACGGTTATATTTTGGTCATTTGGTATATCAACACTGCTGTAGATTTCATTTATTGTCTTATTATCTTGCTAATGTCGAAATCATCTAAGGTTTTCAGCATTTCTATTACAATTACATCTGGTCCGGCTCCTTTGTTTTCAGTATGAATTAATAATTCGAAAAAAATTGTGTTAGTCGATTTTTGCCTTAAACTAGTGTACGAGTGATAAGCAGAAACATTACACTTGCGATTAGTCTAAAATTGACTTTGTCAAAGAAAGGAAACTTATACGGATATTTTAACATCGTGATTTAGTTTGTAACAAAGTTACAGCAGAATGAGCCCAATTCATACATAGAAGGCAGAATGTATGACTGTCAACGAAAGGAAGCGATCTACGAGATGCCAAACTCAAGCAAATATGAAAATTAAAATATCCTGGGTTATCTTTTAAATTGCGATACCGAAATCCAAAGATCCATTATATTAGCGAAAATACTTACTAAAAGTTAATCAAAGTATTAAGATACAGGAAAATTTCGTTTGAAACAAAGAAGAGAATATTGAGCTGTTACGTAATATCAGTCCGTTTATATAGCAGTCACTGTCGGACAATCAGAAAAGAACAGTGGCATTATCACCTTGCTTAGGGTGAATTGATTAAGAAAAAGAAAAATCATCGCCACCAGATATATTTTTCTTACGATGTTGTGAATAAGCAGCATAATATTAACAAAATATTAACTACTTTTATATGTCGTATGCTTTCAGGACATGAATGATCATGGATCTCCACAACTTCCTATCCTTTATAGCTTTGAGTAATGTTTGTCTTTTCGTTATCTCTCCCAATCGCTGTTCTGCTGTCCCACCACAAGCTCAATGGTTAGGCTATCAAGTTCTTTTCTCTATTCATCTTACAATCATAATATCCTGTGAGTGTCAGATTCTCCAAGCTCTCTTTCCTCATTATGTCTCCTAGAAATTTCAACTCTTTCTGATTCTAAGTATAAACGTACCTTTCTGTTTCCATTTTTTCTTAAAATATCCCGGATAATTAAATGTTCTATTTGTGGTATTCTCGGTAACTTCCTGTAGGTTGCCTCAGAACTCGTCCTCAGCTGTGGAAATTGTCCAACATTCACTGCTGCAGAGGAGGATTGATATTACATAATCCGATTACACCACTTTTATATTATTAATCATCGTGTTCACCGATACACATCTAACCCCAAAATCGACTTACTAAATGCCAGTCTGATTAGAAGAGAAAACAATTCACTAAAAAATAGATTGAAAGTACACTGATCTCACAATTCTCTACGATCAACCTCCGACCGGGCTCATACACAATATCACCGATCATGGCAAAAGTTACAGTAGCACAATGCGGTGTATAAGCTAATAGAGATTTTAAAAGGGATATCATCTTGAATTGGAATAATGTCAAATCAATCAGGCATTAATTGCTTGAATATGAAAAACAAACTTTCTGGCCGTAGTATTTCGTATGGTTATTTATTACATCTCCCCCAAAATTCCAACACAGTTTCTTTTCACACAGGTTTGCCTCTCATTACGACCTGAATACTCCTGCTATAAAGTGTCACAAGGCGTTGTCGTAACAATCTTTTTTCCATTTTGTTTCTCCATATTCTCTATCAACTATCTTCTACTCAAAGATAGGATCGGAGGTATTTTCAGTATCTATAGCAATGGATATAATTTATTATTTAAATGATTTAAAACCGAGTGAAATTGAAATTTTATGCTGTTAAAAATCATCTTTAACTTGATGTATTTCCTTTGACCGTCGTCAGCGTATCTGCAACATCACTAGTGGGTCGTTAACCACAATTAAAAATAACTTTAAAACTTTATCTTATTAAATAAAAATATCACACAATCTCGTTATTCTTAAGTTTTGTACATTTGTGAAACCTGAATTATTTTGGCAATATTACTACTGACAGAAGGCCTTTCTTTTCACCCAGATGATGTTGCCACGCCCTCCACTGCTCATGTGGTCTTCTCAACAGAGAAATAGGACTTGGGAGAGAGATAGATACACAAATCCATCCAGTTCTCAGACCATTTTATCCAGTGTACAATTGAACCACTCTCCCTTCGTTCTCTAAATGAGCGTATTTTCATCACCGATTTCGTATCTCCGTGCTTAAAGACTCTATTGTCTTTCAATCTTTAAAAAACAGTCCATTTGCGACGCACTTTCTAACCGGTTGAAAATCTTTCCAACATAAATTTATCGGATGTGTTGAGCAATTTTATCCCAGATAAGCTTTAACAATGGAAATATTTGTCATCTCTCTTAATATATACGAATACGCATGCGCGCGTATCTTTTCTAAATGCAGACGGGTTGATGGTTATTTTTACTGGTAATCATTTTCCACGTTACGAGGGCAAAACAAAATAAGACACAAGGTCATTTTCTAGGGTGAATTAAACTGTATAATTACTCAATTCCGCACATGATTCAAGGACGAAATTTATGGCGGGCC